TGACGGCTATATAGAACATTTTAAGAAAACAGCTGGAAACAAATACTTTTTAAAAGTAGTGCGTGTCATCTAATTTGTTGTAACTGATTTGCGTTAACTACGCGGTTGAAACGCCTTCGAGCGTGTTCTGCACAGATAACCGGCTTCCGCGGTTAGTTTTCCCAGGTAAACACGCACATGAGCGCAGTGCGCCGTTTCTATTTTTATTTCTTCGTACTTATCGCGTAATCCAGGTATCACTGCACCTGGACACCGATCGAAACTCTAACCCCTCGCTGTACTTTGACGAGTTTAACTCGTGATGAGAATTTCGGGCCAAATGTAAACATTGCGAGTCAGGCTCGTAGTCGTAATATCATGTCAAACGTAAATATCACGAGTCTGATTCGTATTCAAAAGTTCGAACCAAACATGAATATCACGAGTCGACCTCGTGGTCTTAATCTCGGGTCGCAGGTAGTTACAAGATATCATTTGTTTCAAGTTCCGACAACACGTCTCCGTCGCTTCGGATTCTTTCGCGAACACTTGTGGGCACTGCTTGAGTCTGAATTCTTCCGAGTTGAAAGATACGGCAAGGGGTTAATGGCTTAGAACGATCATGATCCTTGAACGATAGACATCAATAGAGGAAGGAAGAGCATTCTTGTTGTTTGTTATGCAGGAGACCGAAAACTCCCGTGTGAAAATGTTCCGAGAATTCGTATAAAATATTCGAAGAAGATAACGCTAAGTATTGTGAATTCTTTAATAAGTATTGTGAAGAACCGTATTTTACGAAATAAATCAAAAGCGGTGAAAGACGAGTTAAAAGATCGTCACAGTTAAACCGGACACGCTAGGCGACGTTGTACAGCTTGCTCGTATCGATAATTACACGCTATCGAAAACATATTAATTACCGAAAACAAGTAATTAATGTCCCAGAGTTTACATCGCCTAATCATTCAGTCGTGATCGGCATAGCTAATTAATCGAGAAACATGTAGGACAGTCGCACGATCCTTTTTCCTTATTTTTTCTCCCGTGCTTTTCTCGTGGCAAGTGTATCGCGAGAATATTTTCCGTTGAAGTATTTTCATTTGCATCGGCGCTATCTCGTGGCATTAATCATTTCACGAACTTCTCCAGCATCGATCTCGTCGGCCGACACTGTTTACATTCACGCCTCTTTCATCCTAATTAATACGATAAAGTGTCGTGCGTTCACCATGCAATTAGAACGAGCCACACGCGCGAGGTTCATTCGCGGAGGGTTGCGGAGCGGGCGCCGGAAAAAAACGGCGCGCAGCATTCCGCGAGGTGAAAAGAGCAGCGTCGAAAAAAGCAACCTTGCCAATCAGTTGGCGATCAGTCCCTCTTGACGCGGAACATAATTTCCATTGCACTGCCTTTTCTAAACAGATCTCGCGCGTGTTCGACCTAACGCGGCCAGTCATAATGAATACGGAGGACTTGCCCCGATTTATCTACGCGGAATATTAATTATTAATTGCGCCACGAATATTTATAAGCCGAGGCAAGGCGAGCCGACCGAGATTTTTCTGTCGCGCGCCGTGCCGGCAGACATGCTCGGCGATAATGTATCCAAAATGGCGATCGGCTGCGCCGCGCAAAAACCGCGGACGATAATGGAGACACTGGGGACGCATACCGCGCGCCGCCAGCAGCAATCGAGTATGCAAAACGGTGAGTTCGGCCGAGTTATGTCGACTCCCGGTGGCAGGAGGTAGCTACGGCGCGATGGGAAGGTCGTTAATCAGCCAATTGCAATCATCGCGCGGCGCAGGTACAATGCCGTTGATTGGTTGATTGGCTGGCAGCCGTCTCTCGCGTGTCGCCTCTTTTCCGCCGCGGGTACCACCGGCCGCTTTAATAGAGGCCTCCGAGGCACCACGGCTGGAATTCCCGGCGCGACGTCGACCCGTGCGCGCCGCTCGTTCGCTCGAGTCGCCCGGGGAAAATGGAAATGAGACACCCGGCGGTACTCATCTTTAGAAAAGAGAAGAGAAGAGAAGGATCTATCTTGATATCAGAAATGTTGCCGAGCCCCGATTAAAAAGATTCGGTGACTTTGTTTTAGAACATTCAAAGATTCCTCATCATCGGAATCCTCTAAACAAAGCGATAAAGCAGGACTCGAACACTTTTGTAAAATCCACAAGATGTCTTGCGTATGCAAGAAAGATCCCTCCTTTTTTTTACCGTGCCGCTATATACAATACTGTTCATAAAGAAAACCGTGCAAAGGAATTAAGAAATGACATAAAAGAAAAAGGTCCAATACTTGTTTTGTTTACCAATTCAGATGATTTAGGCTAACTTATCTATGCTTTTAGTAACCTTAATGCGCTAGCGTTTGCTTCGACTATATGTAAGGAATACAATAGCGCTATCACAGACGAAAGCAATAAACAAGGCTATGTGTTGATATCGTCATCGGAATACTTCCGCAACCCGCCTCACGGACGAGGACGAATAGCGATATCAATAAACAGCGTCGTTTCTATGCGGTATTCAAGGGTGTCTTGGTGCCTAGCGTCGAACGCGATGATGCATAGGACACGGTGGGGGACGACGATATAAATCCCCGTTCGGCGAGACGACCGTAAATATTCACCGCGCGTGAATTACCGTTCCGCGGCGATCGGCGGAAAGAAGCTCGAAACCGAGAGAAGAACAGGAAGAGCGAGGGAGAGGGAGCGAGGAAGGCAAGAAGGGAGGAGGTCGTCGTGTACCGTGGCGAACAGGCGGCAGTAAATCGGTGAAAAGGGGGCGAAAGGTGCAAGAGCGAGTGGTGGCGCACGATTACCTATAACGCCCGAGCGCGCCGAGAGTGGCGACAATAAAAGAGCATGAACGCGGCCAGTCGTTTCCCGGTCTAAGCGCGACGTTGATAAATAATCATTGGCATATAGACGCACGCCGGGCATCTACATACACGCAGGTGTACGATCGCGGGTCACACCGCGACACCTGGTGCTGATTAACGAATCGGGCGAATCGGTTCTGGTCTGGTAGACGGCTAAGTGGCCGGCTAAATTGCCGCGTTATTCTTGTAAACCGCGGCATCCCCGACTATCCAATTACTGGGCGCGCGAGCGAGCGAGCGAGGCGGCGAGGACGTAAGTACGTGGCACCTACCTACACGCGTTCTGCGGCTCGTACTCTCGGAATCGCGGACTTTTTTCGACCACGACGACGATCCCCGGCATCATTAAGGTCAACTAATGAACGTACAGAATGGGGACAAATTAATCGATAAATTTCGCGTGGCACACAGCCGTCTGCCCCGTGACCACCTTCGTTATCGCGAATCTCGACGGAATTTAACAAGTATCCGTCCGTGGTTCCCGCTTGACGTGCTCGGGATGCGACAGGATTTTTACAGAGAATGTTTGGTCGATTTTTAGCTTGGAACGATTGAACGTTGGATTTGTATGGCACGATTGAACAGTGGATGTGATTATTTGGGAATGAATGTCAGCGATGTAAATACTTCGATATGTGTGTTTAGAGAATTTGTTTTATTTTGATCGGATATGCAAATATTCGGAACTTCTGTATTGTGAGAGGTATTACTGGCGTAGGATTTTATAGCTGAAAAGAGTACAAAACTTTTATACAAAAAATTTTTTCAAGGACAAGCGTGTATTTCCTGTTGCTTATATTGGTCCCGAATTCGAATGAAAAATCGCTGAGATAATTGTGTCCCTGCTGAAATAAAAGCTCGTTCCGTTAAAGACGCTTCTACAATTCGGTGGTCGTTTCTGCTTTGAAAAATGATTATTATCATGCCCTAATGAAAGATAACGAACCGATATCTTGATAGAGATCTGAGAGTTGGATATCGAGTCGAGGCTGAACTGTCAAGCGTTTCTCGGTATAACGTGAAAAAGACGACGGCCTTAAACTATCTACCTATCATCGGCTTGGATGAAGGTATCTTTTAACGATTTGATAAAATGCAATCGAGGCGATTGCTGGACCGGAAACGAGTTGGAATACCGTATCGTGTCACGAGAAATGTCAGCAGCTGAATTAACGGGAAACAGCGAGAAACGCGGATACTTAACCCGCTATCTTTACGATTCCGCGGCATCTTCCTTACTATTTCACCCGTGTAATTCGGTGGAACAGCCGGAGCACTTCATAAAGCCAACGCGAAACGCCGTTTCACGAGTTTTAAATATCGTTCGGCCAGCGATAAGACATCGTCCGAGACGAGATAATCCTCTCGATTCCAACCAAGTGTGAGACACACTCGAACGCAAAAATGACGCCGGTACCGGATTGTCATCGATGCGACACGTTAAGTCCCGCGCACACTCAGAACTTTCATGTAAGGCCGCGGCTGCGGCAGTTACTCACACAGCGCTTTCAGTCTATAAACTTTTATCATAAAATTATATATATGTTTAAACACACACACACACCCACACGCACGCACACACACACACACACGCGCGCAATTGTATAATTTATATAGAATACATACACATGTGTATAAGTAAATACATACTTTAAAAGAAAACATTTCTATATTATTCAACAGTTTAAGGTGTTTGCTTTATTTCGAATGAAAGATCAACGAGCGAAACGCGGAAAAGTAATATGCATAGTACAACATTCCTTTGAATATCGTATTATATCCATTTTGAAATAGTAAGATATTTTAGTTTAGATATGAAGTCGTGTTGCAGTCGAGCGCGATCTAATAGTACCGACGACCGTGGTCCATAGAAACCGTTAAACAACAGTCACTTGTAATCGCGAGTCTTCCACGAGTCGCGTGAGATTCCGGTCGTCTCGCGGTCACAATGCTTCTGGCGAATCCAAAATCCAAAATTTTGTTGTGATAAGTCCCTCGACGAGGACTCGTTAAACGTTTTCAAAATTCCGCGTAATTGCTTGAACAAAAATTAGTCCATCCACGGTTCTGAAACTGGATTCTCACTGAACGATTCGGCGATTATTCTTGGAGGGAAAAGGAACAGAAAATGGGGAAACAGATGCCGAAGATGTCAGCTCGAGTGGTGAACGCGATTAAGAACCTGCGCGAGGTTCACGGGTCCACATCCAAGGAGATCTTGAACTATATCACGTCGCAGCATAGCGCACCAGAATCCACCGTACAGAGACAGGTATTGATACCGATTATTTCATTCTGTACACTATTCACAGCTCCAAAATCCAGGCAACAGATACGAAAAAAATGTTCAGCTTGACGATTGACTGACATACACGGTCATCTCAATCGTACCTAAGTTAGCTACCTTGTACATTTATTTACAATTGTTGCCACGACTCGTTAACACGAATTTCATTCAAAGCAAACCAGAAAGAGCTTTGCCTTTAACACTTCGACTACCAAGCAAGCGCTCAGCAAAACTGCTGTGCAGTCGAAACAGGTTTCTTAACAAAGCAGAAATAATCAAAATTCTTCGTAACGATTCCTCTACTTCTTCCTATGCCTCATACATCTAAGAAACTTCGGTACGTTCAACACGTCATCAAGAAAATTAATGTTTCGGTTTACATAAAAAACGGTGTTGCCCAAATTCAAGCAGCAATCAATGTATTAACGTGTGAAACAAGTTATAGTTCACTGACATGTCGAATGAATTCTTAGATGCAAGCGGCGTTAAAGCGGGGCCTCGACTACGGTATTCTGAAGAAGAACAACGGCCACTATTACTTGAACACCGACGCGGAAATACCACGAATAGCGCCGTCAGGAGCGTCGCCAGCGGAGAGAACCAGAAGGAGTCGTCGTCGGAGTAGTCATAGACGAAGCAGGCGTAGACGAAGCGGACGACGAAAGCGTCGCCGTCGAAGCGGCAGGAGACGCGGCCGGACCCGTAGGTCGCGGAGGAGGCGAAGCAGCGGCAGGCGCAGAGCAGCACAAGAGAGGCGGGTAGAATGCACGAATTGCAGGTGCAACAAGAGGCATAGGGACTTAGACAAGCAGTTGCTGAAGGATACTGCGTTGGAGCCCCAGAACCCTGAAGACGAGGATTCATACGCGCCGGGCAAGGAGAGCGACGTGGATCGCCGCAGCGAAAGCCACGAAAATTGCAGCCAGTCTGGCAGTCAATCATCGGTGAACAGCAATCGAGACACCGCGATGGACGATCAACAGCCGAACGACTCGTGATTAAGATCAACGCGACCGAACTCGGTTTGCGCCGCCAGCACACGCGAACATCCACACCTTGCTGACCAGTGAATTTGTTTGTAGAAAACGGCTTCAAACTTTGCTCATGCTAAAATAATATAAATGGTGTTTACTACTGAGTAGGAGCTAAAACGATATATACATAAATGCAAATACAACTCGACTCATGAACAACTGGCAACTTAAAAACATGAGTATACTCGCGATCAGTCAGCAGAGTGTCAACGGCGGCAATCACTCGCGTTATCTGGCGTCCATTGACAAGTACTGCGGCACCCAAGGGTGCATCCCCTTTGGAAAGCTGTTTATAACCTCGATCAGAACTGTACCAATAAGGATAATTTTTAGACGTATATTTCCTTGATAATCGTGTATATTTGTATTTCTGTAACTGGTCCATGTTCGTAATAAATTTACCTTGTGAGTACAGATTTTCGTTGGTCTCGCCAGGGACTTCATCTATGACATTTCTGGGTTAGAATCTTGAAGCAGGATACGCGTGAAAACCTATTTCACCTGCTTCGGTGAATTAACCCACTCACTGCTGACTACGACATATCTCGTAGTATACGCTACAAGTTTAGATTGTTTGCTACTGATCATGGCGCCCTAAGTAAGACGCTCAAGATTTGCCTGGCAGTGAACGGGTTAAACGAAGCTTCGAAGAAACAAGGATTGAATATAGAACACTGCATCGAATGCAGAAGAATTCTCGATGACTCCGGTTGAGTCGGCGACATCGTAGACCAAGAACGAGGCGATCATTGGCGTATCACGTGTTTCCCTGTCGAAGTTTTCTCTCTTTTTCTCTCTTTCTCCGTTTTCGATTTTTAAGCGGTAGGTTTTCACGAGCGTGCACGAGACGCATTTGCGCGTCGGGTACGAGTCTCAGGCGCGAACGGGGGTCAGGGTCCCGAGACTGAGGTAGCCCGAATAAAACCAACGGCCATAACTCTTCCAGCGTCGGGGTCAAGGCGGGTTAGAAGGGATCGAGAAGTGATTAGTGGTATTTACCGGTCCCCACTGAGAGAGAGCCTGCCGATTCTCGGTACCGGTCGGACGTCCCGCGGGGTCCTGCATGCGCGTCCCGCACAATGCCGCGATCACACTGCTCTCTATTCTTCGGACCCGCGAGTCTGTGGAAGGTCGCCGCGACATCAGAATCGTCGACCGATATTAATGCGATTCTAACGGTAACACGTCCGACCGGTCCGTCGGAATCGGTGTTTTCTAACCGACAACGGGAGAGAATCGTTTCCCAAACGTTTCAAACTTCGTTGGAGATTCATAGCCAGCATCGATGAACAGGTTCAGTAAAGGTTTCTTCGGTAAAGTATTATTTTTCAGTGCAACTGACTGCAAGTACGTTTCAGAACATGCAGATAGTTGCATTGAAGTGTCTTTTACAATGTAGAAAATGCGAATGTAACACGCTGTGCTTGAAACAGTTACATAGATCTGCCCTTGTTATTACAATTTTTAGCATATTAATTGATTCGTTAATTATTACCAACATTAATAAGAAATTATCAACGAAAACTCAGCGAAATATATTTAAACGTGCGATTCGTTGCGAATGGTACTTCAGTGCGACCGATCTCGACTGCACCGACTCGCGACGCATCGACGCGAATCCACCCCGAGCGTAGCAAACTCCTCTAGGAACGCCGCAAACTCGGGGAATAGTTTCTCACCGGTGCGTGAGTCAAGGGTCGAGAGCGAGGTCGATAAGATAAGGGTAGAAGGAGGAAGAGTTTTTCATTTCGTTACCGCGTTATTTATTGTTTAACGAGCGGCTCGCGAGCTAACGCGAAACGACGATAACACAGGGAACGGACAAATTGAAAGGGGGCAGGTGGTCTGGCGGAGAGTGGGAAAGGGTGGGACAATTTGAAGGAGGGTGGCGGAGCTAAAAATTCGCACGGCGCGACACGCCAGCGACAAATTTACGAGTTCCTCGCTGAAAGCCCCGTTATCGTTTCGTGTCCCTCGGCTCTCCGACGCTCCGGTCCTTCCTCGGGCACCGATCTCACAATTAGTTCGCGAGAACCTTGACTCCGGGAAGACCGTAGTCGCTTGCCGGGAACTTTTTAGGCTCCCAGCAGCACCTGCCACGGCTATGCAACTTTCGCGAGGGTTTCTCAAATCCGTGCGTTTATTTCCGTCATTTGATTGTCGGGTTAATTAAACTTTTCGCCTTAAGACCGTGATATAAGTGTCGAAATGTTAGTTTCTTTTTTTTTGTTCTTTTGTTAATTGAAAATTAGGATAGATGAAATAACATAATATTAAGGTGGAGTTGTCCTGTTCCCTTGCTTTAATTAATAAAAAAACAAATTCGAGAATGGAGTAAAATTTTATATATCTACGCCCATCAGTATAAGTGAAAACGGTTAGCCATGGGCAAACGCAAAAACTACGTTCTTTATTTATCGGTTTCGGTATAAAATAATTTTCCTCCAATCTGTATCATCATTTCGGAAGCACTCTGTGTGTACATACTCAAACATAGGTATACACATGTACACGCAGCGTACATCTATTTCAGTTGAACGTAGAGCGTAGCGGTGAATAGCAGTGACCGAATAAAGCGCAATCAAAGTGTCTTTCACTCGGCGGCAATTGGTCGCGGTCCACGCATACTCGAGCTTCCACGTAACCGGGGCTCTCGAGCAACGTGCGGGCTAACGTCTAACCTAACCTCTCGAGGCCTCCGGTGCGTACAACATAAATCTACCTTAATGATATCGCGCGTAATGCCGGGGTGACGCTATCTCCCGGCTCGGTACACGTGAGAACACGACTGACACCTCGATCCGGCGTTGTCGTGGGCTCGCTCGTAACAGCGAGTATCGCGCGCGAAAGATCGTATCGGTAAGCCGATTTTCTGACCGGCCGCTCCTTCCGGCCTGGCCGGGTCTTCTCGTCGTTTAGGCGAACGCTGCTGCTTCGTCGCCCGATGACACCGGCCCGTGTCCCGCGAGACTCTGCTTCCCCGGAACGCACGAATCTTCCACACGGCGCGCTGTGTTTCGTGTTTCTCTCTCGGTCAAACGGTTGGAAGCGATTTCGACCGCGATTCCTCTTCAGACAGGTCACGGGCCTGCTCGCCCCGTTCCTTTGCCGCTCCGTTTCCTCGTTCGTTCCTGTTTTTATCGCGCTGCGAGCTTCCGAGATGACTACGGCTGATACCTCGCTTCGCGCTTTCTTCGGCTTTGTCTCCTTTTTTCTTACCCTTTCGAATATTCGCGCGCCATTGCCGTTTCTACGTGTCCGTGAACAAGTTTTTCTTGCGCCTTCGAGTTAGGACGACTTGATTCGCGAATGGAAAGAGCGATTCAGTAGAAAGATGCGTCGAATCTTGCGAACTCTTCGGAGTACAAACGTTTTTTTCGATAAGGGAGCTTTTCGTTTTTGCTTCACCGAAATTAGATCATTGTTGTCGAGATCGAACCGGGAATCTTTTTACGCGTGGACTATCTTGGTGGACCAGTTTGCGAAAAATGGGTTCGCGTATTGAAGAAATTAGCGTACCATTTATGCGAAAATCGGTTTTACACGAATAAAATTGTAAATAGAATCTGTCGGTAGAAGAGAAGACAAACTATTGGAAAGAAAAGGTGGTTTCAGTTTTAGAAATACATGTTTATTTCATATAACCAAACAAAAGGAATAATAATATTGACATTTTAGAAAACAAAAGTACATTTTATTCGGTATTACTAAGTTCAGATCGCGTAAATTAAGATCACGCATAAAAACTACCGCGTAAATGATGCTTTAATTTACCATAATTATACCATTTAATGTAAAGTTGCCATACGTAGATACTTATACACTTCGCATATAGGCACCATGTGGCAGCGGCGTATAGTACAGAAACAGCTTTCAGTCTGTGTGAACACGCCTAATCTGGCCCAGTCAGAGGAATTTAATTAGTCACCACCTTCGCGGCTAATAGACTGAGGACCACATGCGAGAAACTTTAATTCGAGCGATCCGCGCGACCGATAAGCGAACGGTAAACTACCGGGTGCTCGAATTAGGCTACGCCGATGATACGGAATCAGCAGGTGGCGATCTCAGCATCCGATTACTCTCCCCGTGGGCCAGACAGTAGCCTCCTTTCTCGTAGCCACCGGTAACTAGCGCGCAGATCCTCGTAACAACCGACGCTACCTCCTTAAAGGCGACCGTACTTAATTACGTTCCAGACGCTGCTGGCGCGATTAAACTCAGCCCTTTTTCGCTTTGTCTCATGAGCTGACGTTCAACGAGCGCGACACTTCTGGTTGGATTGTTAGATCTCTCCTATCCGATGATCGATCCTCGATTTCTATCGCTCCCTACTCTCGTCGAAACGATACGATTCACAATCAACCGGTAGCAATCAACATATCGATGATAGATCAGGTTGTAAGGTCACGTTTTAAAGTCTACAATAATAGATTCAGTTTAATGGAAGTCAAACCGCTTCTCGCACACTGGAAACACAGGAATGTCTACGGTCTATACGTTAAGATATTTTTAACCACGATCCTTTTGTAGTCGCGATTCCAGAGATCGCGTTATTATTAAGAATTTCTGCAGTCGTTTTGCGCTTTAAGAAACTGATCCATTTCGATGGATAGAGTCTTCGATACAAGAAAAAATCGACGAGAAAAGAAACGTTTCCCCAAGAATTCCGTCTTATAAAACGGTGAGCGCTTCTCGACCTGCCCTGCTCCGGTCCCCAGGAATCGTGAAAGAGGCTCGAAACTCGATTCCATCCCCGCCCCATCCACTAAAAGAATTTCTACACGGGTCGAACAACGATCTGGCGACTCCCGAGTTCCAATCTCGCGGCGACGCGACGCGACGCGCGCGTGGAAGAAGATTTAGCGCGTGTTCCGGGGCCTTTTTCGCCGGCATTTCGCGGGGCCGACGTTCATTACGGCGTTGCTCCGCAGGCCTGTACAACCGCTTAACTGTTTTGTCCC